GAAAGAAATGGATTCAGAGACATTAAAGGATATAAGCACATGATTACCTGTAACCGGGCTTCAGGAGGCACCACGGATCAGGCTGTGAAACATTAGGAGTAGGGCTTACATTCATGTTGATGAGTTCCGGAGTGTCAACACTGTGCTCATTCCAGGAGACAGTACAGTTCCAGCAGCATTTCCTATAATGTTAGCAGGACCACCAGCTGTGCCCAATACTTTGTTTGAGGCTGACGTCGTTTCCCCAGCAGTAATCGAGCCTGTCTGTGCCTGATTTTCCCCCTCTTCACCAGTCGAAATAAAATTTAGCAAAATATGAGCCAAAAGAACTGCAGAATCTTGCATAGTACAGCCCAACTATTACTTTTCATTGTTTTTCATCCAATTATTACTAAACCATTGGCAGTAAGTTGTTACAATCACATTAACAAGGTAAGAGGATTCATCCATCTGACATCCAACGTGATCCATCTCTATTACATTTCGAAAAGAACTCAGGGCCTAGAAGACAATCAATAAGCAGTATGAATGCAAAGAAGTAAGAATTTAAATAGATTAGCGTGGTCCAAAAATAATCAGACAAAAAGGCTTGATTTTTAAACATACAATAACGTAACAACCATTTCATCATCAAAATCCTAATTGATAGGGACAAATTCTTGTTCCTCTTTCGTCCCCAAAGGTAACAAACTGTGAGCTGCTTAAAAATGTAACAAGCTGGTTTCTGCAGTATAATTTGATGTCAAGCGGAAGTTATCTACCTGCATGCCAACAACTATCCGTTTTAAGTTGAGAAAAAAAAAAGCATATTAGTCAATCCATTGTCCAATTACAGGAACTGATGAGTCATTAAACATCCCAGACAACTGTCCATGTCAATTTGCGTGTGGAATATGGCGTCAACATGAATTCAAAATGATAGACCAAGCGATTTTCTATTCACAGGCACAATGGTTATATGATATGCATAAAAAATAAGGTGAAGTGACTTATGCCATAGAGAGTTCAATCCCAGTAATACTTCCATTCGTTAAGACCATTAAGCTTGGTGAAAAACAGAGCCATACCAGCAGTTGGTGTTTCCTCCTGGCTTCTTTTCCTTTTGGTTTGATCCACCTGCAAAAGATAAGTAGGATTCATAAATAGATGGAGCATAGTATTTTAAATAAAAAAAACTTTTGGAAACAAATGCTGGGGGAAGAGATAAGCCCTTACCCCTAATGTACTCCCATCAATTCCATCACTGAAGCCTTCAGTATCAACGCTGCTCAGAAAGCAAAAAGATTTGCAAATTAAAAAAGACCCAACTTGTAAACCATCTTGGTTGATATATGACCAAGAAAATGCAATGGCAAATGCAACAAACCTCTTGGACAACCCATGTTCACATGCACCTTCAGGACCGTTAGCATTGCCATTACCTATTGACATTGCTAATCCATCAAATCCTTTCAACTTCTTCATTAGACTGCAATCCATAATTCCCGATGATTTTGTTGGTGTCTCTATTCTCAGCGGAACTGCATTCTGCATTATTGCAATAGCATCATGTCCAAAATCAATTTATATGCCTTGTCTATTAAAAAGAGTTACCTTCTTGTCTTTTCAAATTCCTTGGTCATGTTCTTTTAAAGTTTAGAAGTTTTACTTACGTCAGGTGATAATGGCACCCCATGGCCTTGCCAGTGTGATCCCCGAAAAGGAAGGTTTTGATAAATACATCAGAAATTTGTGTGTTTTTATAGTTAAAACCTCAGCTCTCAACAATTTATTGGAATTAACATTCACAAGTAAATGGAGGTAGTATCTTCACATACAAAAACAAGCTTGGGATGGATATCCAACAAGTATGTTTCAGTCAGTCAGTATTCCAAAAAATGCCTGGTATCATCCACTCATATTTTGAGGAGGCTGGTAGGGTTACAACATTCAACTGAACTTCAAATTTGGACACTAGAAAACAACTAATTATCGTAGAGGTGCGGACCAAAGTGGAATTCCGAGAGTTATTCCCATAAGAATAGATCATAACTATGAAATAGTATGAATATCTGCTCACCAGAGAAGCTGCAGGACGTGCATAAACTCCTTCATGGGTATTTCTCAAAGCTGCATAAGGCGACCCATAAGGTGGCATCATAGGCTGTAAGAATTCATTAGTTAACATAGAACATGAAAAAATATACCAAATGTATCCAAGTCTATACACACAATAAAAGCTTTGAGAAATACCCGTGGGCCCCACATATAGGGATGTGGAGGATGACCAGATGGCATAGCTGAAAAGTAATATGGTGGAAGTGGGACTGTAGGGCTGTAATACGCCTGGAGATGAAACAATACAAGCTTAAATCACTATCACCGGTTTCTTAAAGAAAGAATATGGATTTAACTATCAAACAAAAGAAATATGTTTTAATAAAGTTTATTGGTCTGAACACAAGCACGAAGTAGATAACCTGCATGGCTGCCCAATCAGGATACATATGGATATTGGTCTGATCCTGTCAGTACAAAAGGATTGATGAATGCTCAGCTCAAAAAAACAAGTTCAATTTTCAAAACTAAAAGCAAAAACATAAACAAATGCCAAAAGTATTAGCTTGAATTGTCAAACAAATGGTAATGAAGGAAAAGCATTTTTCTTTCCAATCACAAAAAGAACAAATGCCAAAAGTACTAGCTTGAATTGTCAAACAAATGGAAATGAAGGAAAAGCATTTTTCTTTCCAATCACAAAAAGACAAGACCTTCTAATTCTATTTCTGACAGGTGAGCATTAATAGTTTCTTGCTTACCGGGAGTGTGGGTGATGACAATTTATCGGTCTTTGAGGATTTTCCTTCTTCTTTGTTCCCCATGGTCAAGCACCAAAGCAAAAGCTGTCAGCTGACTTAGAGAATATGAATGATGCTTCACGTTCTTGTTGATTTAAGAAATAAAATAAAAAAATCAATGGAACAAATGACGGAGTTGTAAACCTGCAAGTGGCGATAAAATGTGAGAAGCAGCTAAAAAACAGCTGAAAAACCAAAATTAGAAGTAAAATTAGATTTTTGCATGATATGCCTGAGAGAGATTTAGTTTCCTCACAGACCAAAATGTTAGAACTCCGAGCACAAAAAAGGGGAAAAGATGGGTCAAAAAGTTAGAATTGCCAAATCCTACAATAATAGAAAAATAGTAATTGGTTACCATACTTATCAAAATTTTGTCTGACCAAATGGCAAAAAAATATACAATGAAAAAACCACCAGAACAATACCTTGAATTCGGATATTGAGAGTTAAACAAGACTGCTATTGGCAGCCAAAAAAATGCTTAAAAACACCATTGAATCAATATACAAATAGTTCTTTCCCTACAAATTGAAAAGAAAATCTGTAACTCATTAACTGGCAGAATTTGCAACTAATAATAATGTTCCAGTAATTACCATTACAATTTCGCAGTTTTTGATAGATTGAATTACTAAGAATATCAGATTTTCTTTAATCATCGGTTTAGCATCTAAAACATGAAGCATAAGCAAGTTTCAATTCTGTTCCCTCTTTTAAATAACAGAAATACTTTCTTTTTTTGAAATAATTAAATAACAGAAATACAATCACTGCTTGGAGAGGTTTATACGTATCAATTTTACACCAGAAACAGGGAAGGATTAGAGGCCATATTTCTTTTCTTTTTACAATTCAAACAAAACAAAAAATAGAAGTCACACAAGAAAATTCCTTCCCGTGATCAAAATAAACAGGTTACTGAACAGACAATTTGTAACATTATTAGACAAAAATTAACCCACAACATAATGTATATCCGACGGGAAAATGGGGGTGTAAGACTATGGAAACTAGCATATGATAGTGTATCAATTCATACACCACCGCGGTGCCTGTCCTCGGTTAAAAAGAGAGTACACCAGAAGAACCAGGGGAGGGAAACTAGAGATCCAGGGACCTGAAGTCGAAAATTTTAAGAGTGGATGAGGATGAAAATGTCTGATCTTCACCATCACCGATAACAACAAAGGGATTGCATACAAGTCAAGGACGATTTCCAAGTCAGTACCACAAGCATAATCTGGGAGGAAAAGGACGAAAATACCCTCAAAACTAGAATTAGGACACCTGCAAGCCTCTTGAACATGATGATAGTTGTAAGTTCCGCAGAAACGTTCAAATAATAGACAACAACAAATGCACAAACTAAGCCTGTAGATTAGTTGCTACAGTCTCAATTTTCATCCTCCAATTTCTTCATCTAATTTTACTTTCCCTCTCTCAAGGAGACACAGCTACAGATTTTAAGAAATATTTTTGAAACTCAATGACAAGAAAATCAACCAATAAAGAAATATTTGCGACATCTAGCGAAGTATCGTCTCGAAACTCTTTTTGGATGCCAAGAAATATAGGAAATCAATTGTAGACGAACAAAAGAGGAAAGAACTGTAATTCGGAATTGTAAGTCTCACTACAACCAAAACCACGTTGAGTTGAGTTACGGAGCTATTAGGTTAAAAATAATAAAAAATCTTAATCCTTACAACATTCAATTTCTTTCAGTTTCCCAGATTTCTCACCAACCAGACAACACCTAACGGTCGAAATTCGATGACCAGACATCTTCTTCTGGCCACTACTAGAACATCTTCGTTACCTCCTGTACTTACCACTATTTTCCAAGCAACCAAACAAGACCTTGTACATTAGAGACTTGAAAAACAAAATCAACTAAATCAACAGTGTGAAACAAACCCAAAGTAGATGAAATTTTCTCATTCAAATTTAACACACCTTGAACTCAAGAATCTCAAATCCCCTTCTTGTCGCCTCCAAAGCCAAAACCAATAACAACAAAATCCGTCGCAGGATTCGATGCTTAAAAAAAAAAGAGAACTTAAAAAGAAAGAAGTACATTAAGAAGGGAAGAAGTTCCGGTTCCATGCATTTTCTTCCTTTCTTTCTTTCTTTCTTTCTATCTCTCTCCACTCTCTCTCTCTCTCTCTCTTAAACAAACAAACTACCAAAAGTAGAGTGAAAAGATTCGGTTTTCCGCAGAGAGAGAAAGGGAGAGAAGAAGGGAGAAAGGGGGAGGCGCGAAGGCAACATCCACGTCATTTAACACGTGTCGTTATACAGAAGAGATGTACGTGCCAACGTATATACGGAGGCTGTGGTAGCTGCTGAGCTGGCTCATTATCATTGGCTCGCTGCCAATATTTTTATTCCAACGTCATCTCGACCGTACACGTGGTTGTCTCAGAATCGATCCACGTGTCCTGGTTAGGGTCCAAACCTATGCCACTCATCGTGTGGCTTACGTGGTCTGTTTTGTTGTTTGATTTTTAAATATTGTTTCTCGCGTGCAGCTGTCTGCTATTCAAAATGTTGGGAGGCAAACAAGGTCGCCATCCGTCGTAGTCATCTTCGCGATGCGTCATTTCAGGTTTGGGATCTTTTAAACTATTCATTCTGCAAAATCTTTTTGTTAATCCGGGGAAAAACTTTTGTTGATTATTCTAATCGCTGTTTTCTCTCAGCTCTTTGGTTAAGTGCTAAAAGCCTGCATAACCATGTAATGAGTAACTAAAAGTTGTACCCCCTTCCCCCAATTCAAGTCTCAAAAAGAAGTTGATCGTATTTGGTTTTGCTTGCATGTACGACTGAGATGATTGCTTTTCTGAATGATTGCAGACGGATAAGGTCAGACAGGAGCACAAGGAAGACA